GAGATGGAAATGATTGGATGGACGATTAATCCCGATTTTATTGATTCTCAAGTATATATACACCTCGAAGAGGTGGGAAGAAGATGTGCCTATTCGGAGGCATCCCTTCAGAATAGGTGCCGTTTGGCAATAAACAAAGAAGGGACATGATTGTTCATGGTTGAACACATCCCTTTGCTAATGACTATTTGTTAATTAGCATGTGCTAATTAACTTATTAATTCTTAACACTCCCTCTTGTACAACATCACTTCTGAATGATTCATCACTGAAGGCTTCTGATATGTTATCGAAAACTTTTTTAAAACCAGTAGGAAAAATACACGAAGAAAGTGATATGACATATGATGGTAATTGCCGCTTTGACAACTTATATGAGAAAACCTCGAAAGAATAAAACTGATTGGTAAGTTTAGAGGACAATTAATATGCCTCGTATACATCCGATATAAAAAATTGGTGAGGAAAAAAGGAGGTATGACATATATTCTTGTGTTAATATTAGCTCACTAAAAGTCTTGATGACAACCTTGAGAGTAAACTCATAAAAATGAAAAGAGTGTAATATAATGTTTCAATAAGCTATAATTTTAAAGCATTAATTGAATATAGCAGTGGCGGGCTATTACGCGGCCGACACTGCTTGGCGGCGGGTTAGTGAAATATAACTGTGGTGGGCACTTTATGAACCCAACACTTGTACATGACAAACCCGTGACGAGCACCCGTGTGACGTCGACCACTAACATTTTTATCACACGTCTAATTCTATAAAATATTATGAGTTGTGGTTGGCTATGTTTAGCCGCCACTCGTGCAAAAGTAGCAGTGGTGGGTTATGATGATATAGACCTGGGGTAGGGTCACAGGCCTGACCTATACATCCTACCCAAGGTCACTACCCTAGAAACAAAGAAGCTCAAGAGACAACAAGGAGTGCCCAATAAAGGCGTTGAGTGCAATCCACTCGACCAATCAATCACTCGGGTGCCCCTCCTTCCTGATGTCACACGACCAATCAATCACTCGATCATACAAGAAACCACTCGACCTACCGAAGACCAGGAGTCACGCTGAACGACAACGGTCAAGCATTCACTCTGTGTAGTCTTTAAGATCATTAAAAGCACTTATGGTTGGCGTTATCAGTAACGCCCCATCTTTATGTACATTGAACTATTGGTAACGGGGGATGGCCGGGGCCCTGGAGCACTCTATATAAGCCACCCCCTCCTCTGGCACAAGGGTTCGCACCCCCTGTAACACACATACACACACACACACACACACACACACACACACACACACACACACTCATAATCCAGTCCATCGCCTCCGGGCACCGAGACGTAGGGATTTTACCTCCTCCGAGAGGGGCCTGAACTCGTAAACACTTGCGTACAGTCTCGCTGTAGCTAGGACCTTGCCTCCTCATTCGTACCCCCTATACTTACTGTCAGACTTAGAACCACGACAGTTGGCGCCCACCTTGGGGCAAAGCGTCTTAGCGACTTCCGGCGAGGTTGCATTTTTTCCGATCTTCATCAGCATGGTTTCCAGCGACGGTTTGGTCGTGGGCCGCGAATTTCGACTCGGCACGCTCACTTTCGTCGCCGACGACTCCGCCTGGCTCCAGGAGGCCCCCCTCGATGTCGAGGCTCTCCCGACTCATGGCTCGTCGCACTTCCGCGCGAGTGCCTGCGGCGTCCTTGAGGGAGTCCTGGATTAGGGGGTATCCGGACAGCCGAACTATATATTTTGGCCGGACGTTGGACCGTGAAGATACAAGACTCAAGACTTCGTCCCGTGTCCGGATGTGACTCTCCTTTGTGTGGAAGACAAGCTTGGCGATCCGGATATTAGATCCCCTTCTTTGTAACCGAGTCTATGTAAACCCTAGCGCCCTCCGGTGTCTATATAAACCGGAGGGTTTAGTCCGTAGAGACACAATCATAATCATCATAGGCTAGCTTCTAGGGTTTAGCCTCTACGATCTCGTGGTAGATCTACTCTTGTAATACTCATATCATCAAGATCAATCAAGCAGGAAGTAGGGTTTTACCTCCATCGAGAGGGCCCGAACCTGGGTAAAACATCGTATCCCTTGCCTCCTGTTACCATTAGCCTTAGACGCACAGATCGGGACCCCCTACCCTAGATCCGCCGGTTTTGACACCGACATTGGTGCTTTCATTGAGAGTTCCTCTGTGTCGTCGCTGCAAGGCTCGATGGCCCCTTCAATCATCAACAACAACGCGGTCCAGGGTGAGACTTTTCTCCCTGGACAGATCTTCGTATTCGGCGGCTTCGCACTGCGGGCCAATTCACGCGGCCATCTGGTGAAGATCGACAGCTACGCCCCTGGCCATCAGGTCAGGTTCGGAAACTTGAACTACACGACCGATATCCACGGAGACTTGATCTTCGACGGATTCGGGTGAAAGTGCAACTATCCCTAGGTGGTTTTGGTAATTATTAACAACATATAGCTCATTGAGCTAATACTATTCCAAGACTATTATTTCAGGAAAGCTCAATGAATGGCATGGCATGGATGATGAAAGTGGATCCCTCAAAATACTAAGGACAAAGGATTGACTCAAGCTCAAAAGCTCAAGACTCTTCATTTTACATTTTAGTGATCCAAGATCACATTGAGTCTATAGGAAAAGCCAATACTATCAAGGAGGGATGAGGTGTTGCTTAATGAGCCTCTTGCTTCAATGTGCTTAGTGATATGCTCCAAAACCCTCAACTACTTTCCCACATCCACATATGACCTAAACCCAAAGCCAAAATCGGTCACACCGAAACTTCCTATCCGGCGCCACCGATTCCAAAAGTCATAGCCACTGCCACAAACCCTAAGCAAATCGGTCTTGCCGATAGGGATCTCGGTCTCACCGAGATGGGGTTGCAATCTCTCTGTTTCCCTTCGTAACGTTTTGGTCTAACCAAAGTGAGCGATCGTTCCCACCGAGATTGCAATGTAAACTCTCTGTTTCCTTTTTGTAACATTTCGGTCTCACCGAAAAGAGCAAATCGGTCCCACCGAGTTTACCTGACCAACTCTCTGGAAAGCTTATTACCAAATCGGTCTCACCGAGTTTGTGTAATCGGTCTTACCGAGATTACGTTATGCCCTAACCCCAATTGAATCGGTCTCACCGAGATGCATGTCGGTCCCAACGAAAATCACTAACGGTCACTAGGTTTACTAAATCGGTCCGACCGAGTTTAACAATTCGGTCCCACCGAGTTTGGTAAATTGTGTGTAACGGTTAGATTTTGTGTGGAGGCTATATATACCCCTCCACCTCCTCTTCATTCGTGGAGAGAGCCATCAGAACAAACCTACACTTCCAACTTACCATTTCTGAGATAGAACCACCTACTCATGTGTTGAGGCCAAGATATTCCATTCCTACCATATGAATCTTGATCTCTAGCCTTCCCTAAGTTGCTTTCCACTCAAATCTTCTTTCCATCAGATCCAAACCCATTGAGAGAGAGTTGAGTGTTGGGGAGACTATCATTT